CCATGGTGATACTAATGACACTTTGTTGCTCTTTGAAATGAGGTAATTTGTATGTTAATTAATGACAATACCTCCATTATGGGGCCATATTTGCATTATAAGATATCAGATTTTTGAAAAAGATATACTTCATAATTATACAATTTGGATTGATGTAGTGTATTATAGCCAGTGAGTGCAATATAATATTTATGTTACAATTTACATCATAATTTGAAATTATGACAGACATATGCAGAAAATGAAATTGTTCAGGGTGAAACAAATAATGCCACCCACATAATGTTGCATAATACTGAAAGGGAATAATGTATTCTTGGTAGCTTAAACTCACTGATACTGAATAAGGTAGGTCTTCTAAGGTAGACTAGCATATTAGGTGCACTTTTATGAGCATTACAATATGTGATGTACATGTTGCCCATTCCTTTGCAGGTAGACCTGGATTCTCAAGCAAAGTTATTGATTACCCTAACACATACCTCCACAGATATGAGCTACTGGTCTCAAAGATATTGATTAAGGTAGGTCTTTTAGGTAGCTAACCTCACTGATAGTGACTATGATAGGACTGGTAGGTAACTCTCCTCGCTGATAGCAAATAAGAAAGTTCGTGTAGCTAACCCCATCGGTAGTGAATACTATTGGCTTCTTGGAAGCTCACCTCACTGAAAGTGACTAAGGTAAGGTTTTGTTGGTAGTTTACCTAATTGATAGGGAAAAATGTTAGCCTTCTTGGTAACTCACCTCACTGATGGTGACTAAGGTAGGTTTTCTTGGTAACTCACCTCACTGATAATGATGTATATTTTGTACATGTAACTCATCTCACTGATAATGAATATGGTATGTTTTATAGATAGCTTACCACATTGAAAGTAAAAAAAGTGGGTCTTCTTAAAAGCCCACCTCACTTTTAGTGATCAATGTGGTTTCTTTGGATAGCTCACCTCACTGATAGGGAATAAGTTAGGTCTTGGAGGTACACATATTTTATCTCAGGTAGATATTCTGGGAAGCTCACCTCACTGATAGTGAATAATGTAGGTTTTTGGAATAGGTCACCTCACTGAAACTTTCTAAGGTAGGTCTTGTCTATATACAAGGCGAGTAGGCCAAATAAATAAAGTATGAGTTTAATAGTTCAACTGACCCTATGGGAAAATTTGGTATCATAGCAAAGCTCAGAGAATTGTCTATGTCGTGTGATAAATAATTTGTGTTGGAATAGGTGACGTTGTCATGGAAACGGGCGTTGAACAAAATATGTCCTTAATAAGAATAAAAAGTACAGCACCATTGCAAGGGATATCTGGTTAAGTCAATGTGCAACTTTGAAAGAATGAAAATTAAGGAATTGAAAGAATTTTAGTTTATCTTCAACATTTAACTCAAAAGTATACATATTCTACTCTTTTTTGATTATTGTGATGTCATAATGGTCTATTTTGAATGAAAAACAGTTGGTCTCATATGCAATTATTAACACCATTAGATTGTGTAATCACAATTGCTTACAAATGTTACCTTTATGTATATCAAATGAAAGCTATGGAAGGTACTTTACAAATGAATCCTGTAGCCAGGATTCAGGCAGGATTCATATGTAAGGTAGTTTTCAAATAAATCCAACCTTCAGGATTCGTGCAGGATTCATATGGGAGGTACTTTATAAATGAATCCTGTAGCCAGGATTCAAGCAGGATTCATATGTAAAGTAGTTTACAAATGAATCCAACCTTCAGGATTCGCGCAGGATTCATACGGAATGTACTTTACAAATGAATCCTGCAACCATGATTCAAGCAGGATTCATATTCAAAATAGTTAACAAATGAATCCAGCCTTCAATAATCATACGTGATTCATATGAAAAATGAATCATATAATCGTTTGATTTTCACCATTCTTAACATGGAGTGACTTTGTGGCCAAATTTTGAAATATAAATCCCCCTGGGATTTTTTTAAAAATACCACCCTGGGAAAATACTTGCTGTATGTTTAGCGAACCTTCCTCTGGGCTACGGGCTTGAAGCAACAGCACGATTTATTCCACAGGTTTACACATGTACTAAATATAACTATTAATCACCTTCTCCCAAATGATGGTAGTGACCCGTATCATGTCCGATTATAACATTCATTTTTAGTGTAATACAAATCAAACTAGAATATACCCATGGTATTGTATTATACTGTTGGAAATTTCGAAAGACTTTAGAGTCTTAAAAGACTTTTGTTTTGATGAGTCCGGGCCTTCGTTAAACGAACCTTATTATGTTTGTTTAAGCCAATATTAAGACTCATTTATTGTGAGCATTTCTGTAGTTTTTGAAAACTTGTAAGTCCACATAATTGAAGTGGTTAAGTAACATGTGTAAAATAAGATAATAATTATTTAACGATCCGTCTATTTCTTTGAACTGTTTTTACAACTGCGGATCACCATGATTACGGTTGATTCTTAGGAATTGTTTTAGAATTTATGAAATACAATATTTACTTCCGTATAGCCACGTTTAGGCCTTAGTTTAGGCAACATTATTTTCAAACAAACGGGCCTTATATTGCCGAAAAGACCTGTGCAAAAGTGTTTCAAGAGCCTAAAAGAAGACCGTTTTCCAGAGTATGTCCTAACCCCCTTGCCAATGTCTAAGTCCGCCCCTGTGAACTACCTTGATAATGTCCCCTTGTCACCCCCCCCCCCTCCAGTTCAACCAATTATTTAAACCATGCTGCCTATATTAACATTACCATATAATCAAAACTGGTATCCGTTTGAGTTTTCTAACCCTGCTATGAAGGATGTAACAAAAGTATCTAGAATGGTATATTACACTTTTTTCTGAATGTTGATATCCAAAAAAACATATCTTTGGTTTATCAACACATACCGGACACAATATAACGAGTATACACATAGCAACATAGATAAGAGAATTGGGGAAAATTACAATCCCTTTGATCAAATTATTAAGATTTAATCTCCGGCTGAGGTGTAATCGAAGTGTTGATACACATAATTAGCAATTAGAAATGCTTTAATGATTTAGTTAGATTAAAGTTTTCAATTGCCTTTGAAACAACATCTTATATCAAAAGAATGGATATTGAGAGTATGGATGTATTCATATTCATATCAAACATTCATATATATTTTACAGTGGAATTCCTTCAATAAATGCAACATATTTACCAATTTGGATTTCCTGCATAATGATAAAATGTTAATGATATCATTTTTGATAAAACCCCAGGGCCGTAGCCAGCTTTCAGTCGGGAGGAGGGGGGGGGGGGCTGTAATCGCCAAAATATTTGCGGTTTTCAGTCGTGACATAAGGGACATAAGGGAGGCAAAAAAGATTTGTTTTGAATGTTTACAAAAATGATGCAAGCTTCAAACTAAAAATCATTTTAACGCTCTTTTCTTCATCTACCTAATGTTTGTATTTTATTGCTTGTGGGGAGGATGTGCGAACCCCTCGCTGCCCTTGTTACGCTTATAAACCCAATTAGAATTCCCAAGGAATCAACTTTATTAAGTATATGTGCATATGTGAAAATTAGCTTGCATGTAGAAATTGCATTGTATGCAAACCTTCCCCCGACCGACCCAGTTATAATTATGGCTTTTGAATAATGTCTGCCCTTGATGCATGCATCGGTTAATAAGTGGTGCTAAGAATATTGTTGTAGGCCCTGGTGAAGGGAAATGTCATGAAGATTTGACGTATATCGTGATATAGCCGCGCCACCTTTGTCATTATCCTTCCAAACGCAAACGGCAGATAAGAGGGGTTCTGGCGTACCAGAATGTTTGACGTAAGATTAAAAAGGAATGAATGATTGATCATTATTAATCTGGTGCTTAATAAGCCACTTACAATATATAATTTTAATTCTAAAATGATACGTGACGTCATAACATGGGCTTTTTCTAGTTGAAAGCCCATGGTCACAATAACTAGAAAAGTTGGAGTATGTATGACCGCTAAAATTCATAAATGCAAATATTTTTTTTTGTCTGTGTTTATCATATTAGAATCGTAACAAAGACCTCGATTTTATGATGTATGTCAGATATATAACCTCAAATTTTATTCTGGCCATTGACAAAGACCTCAATCGCTACGCGATTTCGGTCTTTTGACAATGAACAGAATAAATGTTTTGGTCATACTGTATATCACGCCATAAATCATAAAATCTCGGTCTTTATTCCTTAAATATAGTTGATATTGTGTCACGTTTGTTATAACACATAGGTGTAGCCAGGGGGGGGGGTGCGATGGGTGAATGATCGCATCCCCCCCATAACCAATAAAGAAAGAAGAAGAAAGGACCTTTGAATGCCTTGTACTTGAAACCCCCCCCCCCACTGAAAACCGAATTATTTTGACGATCGCCCCTGTAACATGTATTCAATTGATACAGCTATAAAATAAAAGAAGACATGACTGTTTTGGCATTTTGAAAATAATACTTTTGTTATCCCATCGAACGAAGTTCGGAGGGATATAGGGAACGCCTCCGTCCGTCCGTCCGTACGTCCGTCCGTACGTACGTCCGTCCGTCAACATTGGCCGCAAAAATTAAAACTGCTATTCAGATTGAGTCATATCCACATTCATTTTATGCATATCCATAATGCCTATTTGACCTATCATCGCCATTTCCCAAGTAGTTATTCAAAAGTACTAGGGTAGTGTGAAGTGTAATCTCGAAGTGCGATTTCCCGACTCAATTATTGTCATTACGAAGTCGTTGCAAATATATTTATTGCTTCACATACGTGGGTTGGAATGGTTTTATCTTTTTTTATTAATATGTTTTGAGAGGACGTATATAATTTTTCATAACAATCAATATTTATTCCTTGACTATTTCTTAGAGGATGTGTATAACTTACAAAATTGCTTCAACTTTCAGTATCACTCATTGATTCAACAATAGTGCTAGCTTACGTGTTGGAAATACTAACGTTTGCCCGCTTGCAACATGGCGGATGAGAACGGAAATACATGGTGGGACCCAGTTTGCGGATCAAGAGATTTCAACAATGATTCCGATACATGGGCGTTTTGGGTGAGTTTTTGATCATATCACATCACTACATTTTTCACAATTTTAGCCTAATCAGTTGTTGAAAGTCAACCGAATTAAGAGAATTGCTGATTTGATATCATAGAGATAATACCATGATAACACCTATGTGGAGGAAATAAAGACACTGAACTGAACTGAACATTGGATATACGGCAACCGTACGGCGGCGTAGTTCACAAAAATCGAGAGAAGCCACTGCCGCTGTAGAGAAAATGTGACCGAGGCGTTAGTAAAGCTACCTCTTACTCCAACTACATATTACATTTCAAACTTGAAAACGCATATAATGACGTCGACGCTTTCCGCTTATTCAATATCATGATGTAATATCATGATGTCATGATATGAAGTCATCACTGAAAAATTAACTCGGTAAACAATTTGCTGCTATTTGAAAAGTCTTAAGAGTAAAATGTTTCAATTAAAATTCTGACGGTACAGTGTATAATATAAGCTTAAGCATTCCAAAAATAAGTACAGTAGATTGAAACGGCAACAGTACGGTACTCATAGTTAAAGTCATGATATATTGCGACACAATACATCGTTTTGTAAATAATGATATCTTTACTTTGGGTTAATATTTAGGATGGAATTGCTATCAGGAGTATACCGTTGCTCGTATGAACACTAAACACTTCACAAAAGGTCCATGATTGTGCAGTATGCAGTGGTATCGGTAACTTTGTATACGAGTGGCAGATGAAAAATACAAGAGGCGGCATTCAAAATAACCAATTTTACGCTTCCGACAATGCAAATTCTTGTTATTTTAGAGTCTATGGCCTGAAAGAAAGATGTCCAAGGTTTGTCAAAGTCATTTCCACGTGTGATGTGGCAAGACATGGGTTCCACAAAATAACACCTGGAACTGTGGAATGACTAGGGCAACTTACACTGTTGCTCATAAAAATGGAATATTTTATAGATACGAACTGTTTGATGGAATTTCTACAAAATTATAGCATTTTGAAGAAAATGTGTAATGTCTTCTCGTTCCCTCATCAGTTTTGCATATAAAACTGATTGGTATGAAAAGTTAAAACATTTATGGTTGATTAAACTTGTATTCACTCAGGTGACCCCATGACCTCATGATTTTGGAAACTTGAAAAAGGTGTCCAAATCGTAGTTGAAATCATTGTGCCCATTTTATATACATTTAATTTAGAGTCAGAAGAGTTTTTAAAAGGCATGCCCCATAAAATGAGCGAAAAAGAGCATGGCATGTCATAGGGATGGTGCTCTCTGGCATGAAACAAACTGCCATTGCCAGGACCCTAGGGGTGTGTCAGGAACAGTCTCTAAAATTTTGCAGTGGTACCAAAGGTACTGGAATATGACTCCAGGTCACAGCAATAGTTGCCCTAGAGAGAAAAATGTAAGAAAAGACCACCACCTGCTGCATTTATGTCGTCAAAATTGCTTTAAGTCAACCAGTAGTCTACAAGATGAATGACTGTCTCACCTCAAAACCCGTGTTCCAGAGCTAAAGACAACCAGTGATTTCTTTATTTATTCTTTATTAAGGCCATGAGACCTTTAAAGAGACCACAGCTAACTGATCATAACAAAGAAAGGTGCCTTCAGTGGGCAGGAAAGCACCAATCCGTTGGACCTAATCTTTGGTGTAATATGACAGCATGTGAAGAAATAAGATGTGTCCTCCACAAAGTTGATAATTGTCTTCGTTTCTTTCGTAGACCAGGGGAAATAGACAATAAAGACACTTACTAATGTGGCAATCCATGAAGGTAACCCTATTTATGTTTGGAGCAGTATTACAGAGGTTGTTTGGAGCAGTACCTTGGTAATGAGATTCGTGACTTGGACCCCCACCTCAAAATTTAGACACGTTACGCACTGAGGAATGGGGCCTTATTTCACTTTGAAAGGTCCGATGTTTCATTCAATGCTGGTCCCGTAGGGTTGATGCTCTGATTGCAGCACAAAGAGGACATAACACATATTAGTGCTTTCATTGGATAGAGGACACTTTAATCTTCATGACCAGATGGTTATTTTGTTTGATCTGTTTTACATGACGATTTGGATCGGGGTGTTTTGAAAATGCAAAAATTCTTAGCGTACCCCTGTTTAACTAACGGTAATTTTCTCAACTTAAATGCTAATATTTTTTCTCTAATAAAAGTTGATTTGTAGGTGAAATATGTGGTTATGATTTGCCTAGAACATAAATGTCTGCGCCAACTCCAAATAAAAGTTCTCGTACTTCAAACTTTGAATTCTGAGCTGCCAAATCGAATATTCCATATTTATGAGCAACAGTGTATATAGAATGTCATTTACCTTTTACAAGATAACTTATCCTTACACAGGTTGCATTTCACAAATCTAAATGCACCTGTTGAATTGAACTCTTTTGTTATAAATCAAAATCTAGAATTGTCATTATTAGGATGAGAGTGATCTATTAATATATGATTCACTTGTGATTATGTGTATATCAGATTCATTTTAGTTTTTTACCACCTCCAGACATTGCCAAAAATGGTGACATACAGGGTGTTCCAAAAGTAACAGGACTGATGCTGGTATTTTGTTAAATATGCACCAATTATTTTCAAATTTTACATAATGATCCTTCATGTTTTGTAACTAAAATTGCCGAATTACATCATTTTTGTGGAAACTGATTTAGAAATCGGCCGATGAATACTCATCGGCCGGCGCCCGGCGCATATGTGGCCTAGGCATTAGATAGAGACCGAGGTGGGAGATATCTCCCTCCCCTCGTACACCAAACTTGTTCTCACTACGTTTTCGAAAATTGCCTGAAAGGCCTCCTCACATATTATTAACATATTGTTGATCTTATCTTAATTTGCTAATGTGAATTGCACCTTCATTTGCCTGGAAGACTTTGATAAAATCCCTGTTTGATAATCTTTGTCAGAAAGCTGATGTTTGGCCAAGCTACGAAATTCCAAATTGAACAGTCTACCAAGAATATCATGTTGTAAATATTGTTTTCTTTATAATATGTCGAGCTAGGACTGCTCAAACAAATTCGCTTTTTGTAGCTACAAGTATTTAATTTCAATAGATGATAAACTTCTCAATATACTTAGTAACAAATTACCCTCATAAGACATTGTTGCAAGGTGTGTTGCAATGAACGTGGCACCCCGCATTCCCGTGCCCGGATTATGTATTCTCGAAGAAAGCCATTATGATAAACCATGACATCTCATTTCTTCTCAGCCGTGTGTTACAGGTGAAACAGAAAGATGCTATGAGTATCAGAATGGAAGAAAGCATATATTTGCATTGATGGTGTATAAATAGTTATTTTATATAGTGTTTTAGTTGTACGAGGAAACTTATTCTAACCAAGAAGGATATTGCAACTTTTTCAAGATCCTAAAGTTGCAATTTTCGTTATTGTGTTTCATTGTAAAGACGCACCCATGAAAGTGTGTCGCTGGTACAAAGGCGTAGTTCTAAATAAATTTAAGATAAACGTTTTTTAAACTTGTACGTGAACGTGTAGAATTATGGACCTGATGGATTTTTTCTCCCTTTGTTCTGTTAATACACTGCCGGTTGAGGCGAATCCTGGTTCGGGAAAGCGGGGTTCACTGTTTGGTTCCGTTGACAATAGCAGGGGGCGAGCGCCCGAAATCGTCGTTTGTTTTCGATAATTTGCCGTTTGTCAGAAGCCAAATATTGTCTAAGTTTTGGGTGAAATTAAAAGTCTTCTATAGACTATTCTTTATTTTATTTAGCGATCTTATTTTGCACTTCCTTGTTTATGATATGTGCTTTATTTTCCGTGGGGCATGCAGATAATGTATGATTGATACAACTCTGTTCAACCAGTCACAGTACAGTTTTTCCAATTGGTGTAAAATGGTATTTATCAGTTAAAGGTCCAATATAAACTTTGGCTTATCCAATATTATCAAAGTGTGAAATGTGAAACTTTTTATAAATTTCAAAAATGTTTTTTTTTTGAAGGACCTCTGTTTCAGAATATCGTGAATTTATTAAAAACTAACTTTAAGAGGTTACACTAACACATAATTGACACCAATGCATAGCATTCATCCTCACTTGTTTTTTCCCCACAAAATAAAGAAAATTGGTTGATAAATGAGTGAGCAATAAACTCATTCAGGAAAAAAAGTTGTTGAGGGCAAATGCATTTCGAAATTTTAGTTCTCACAGAAACCAATGGTAATAATTTTTACAACATAAAATATTCATCCTTTTAACCTGGTTAGACAGTCAGCATTTGTTTATTTTTTAGTTTAGCATAGATAAAGATAGACATGGAGAAATGTTGCCACCTAAATGATGTCACGATGAGGTCACTTAGGTTGCAAAATATTTTCGATATGCTTAAACATTGAATTGGCACATCAGATATGACATTTTATTATTGAAATAGTGTGTCGTTTGTTCAATCTTTATATTGGTACGTTAAAAAGACAATATTTTCTTTCTATAGTGAAATATTTGATGATTAAAAAAATCAACTTTATTTGAAAAATGGCGGGAAATTTGGAATTTAAGAAATGAAAAGCTGACAACTTTCATTTCAAAAACTTTTTTTTTTTAAATATCTTAAATTGACAAATAGTAAATATATGAAAAAACATGTTTTCAAACTCTACATGGGGACTGTAAAGTCAGCAGATACCTTAAACTTTCAATATAAATTATATCTATACACAGGATGCATTCTATATTAAAAGTGTTCAAATGCGAGTAGGTAGTTACCAGTTTCACCACCAGGTGGCTGATTCGGGTCAATTAACATGGCAGGTATATAAGAAAGTTCCCTTAAACTTCAATATTATCAATTTAAGTGGCTCAATTTTCATATAACCCTTATGTGTCTGATACTTATACTAATGAAAATATATCCAGTAAAGCAAAATATTATCTGTCCACTAAAATAAAAGATATTTCATTTTTTGTGATTTTATAGCATGGGGTCTATGGGGAATCTCCCCGAGCTAGAAGTCACATTTTCAAAGAAAATAAATTTTTCAAAGTTAATAAACACTTTTTAAAACCACATTTCTAGATGTGATTTTACATGTAGATTTTAAATATGATATTACTTTGACTGAATTTTTAATTTTTAATGACGTAAATCAAGATTATTTCTACTCGCAGCAGGTGCATTTGAATTTGTAAACTGCAACCTATTTAAGGGTAAGTTATCTCATAAAAGGTAAATGACATTCTATATAAGTTCCCATGGTCATTCCACAGTTCAAGGTGTCATTTGTGTAGCCCATGTCTTGTGGTCAATCAAATTGACCCAATATCACATGGGAAAATGACTGACAAATCTGGACAGACCTGGACATCTTTTAAATCACCTCTTAATAGGATTCAAAGTTCAAAACTTTGATTGACTCTACAGTAATTTTGTATTTCAGATTCATTGTCCTTGAAATATAATGCACATCAGAATTTTACATTATTTTTGGCAAAGCCTGTCCATGCCCTTGTTCATTTGTCCACTTTCTGCCTAGTGCCTATGGACAAGAATTTGCATTTCCGGGAATGTAAAATTGGCCTCTTGTTTTTTTTCATCTGCCTCTTGTGAAAAAAGTTACTGAAACCACTGAAAGCGACGTCCCCATGATAGTAAAACATCAGTCTCACTCTCTGAAAAATTATGGATTAGGACCCCACCTTGTCACTTTTTGAAAGTGTAAGGCTTATCTTCTGAAAATAGGATCTTGTTTTTCTCAATTTAAATGTCTGAACAGTTACTTCTACACTATATTAATAACTTCTGAAAAGGGGGTGTATATTGAAATGCGATAAAGTTAAAAGCCATATTTTGAAAGTTATTTTCCCACAGGGAAAACTCATGCTATCCATTGTTTTCACCACGATTTTGGTCATCGAAAATTGATATCGTCAAAAATAGACTTTCAATGCCATTCTCCTTTTGAAGATGTTTTAGACCCCTTGTTGAATAATGTTTTCATGCAATAAAAATCAGAAAAAGAAGATCCTCTTTTTGAAAAAAATGTTGACGTGGGGTTCCTATTTATAATTTTTCGATTTGCTCGATTGATATTTTTATCATCATGGGGACATATTGTTTTAATAACAACCACTGTATTTATGCCCAGAAAGTACTTATGGTGAAAGATATGACCGTCTTAAATCACATGCCATACTGCACATTGACCTTTCATATGTCCAGAAGTGCTCATAACGGTCTTCTAAAATGACATGTATTATATTTAGGGAAACTTTAATTTTCCCGAAAAGTAGTGCATCGTACATACTCGTATTTACAATGTACGTAATTTACTAAATATAACTAAAAGTGGGGTAAACGGATTAGAATGGTCAAATATTTCATACAAATATGAGAAATATAAACTTGAAAATCATCATAACCCCTGCAATAAAATCAAAATAACACATTCGACTGATAAAACCGATAGCATTTTGGCTAAAATACATTTTAGGGTGATATCTATTAGTCACCACGCGTGTAACAAACAATAACAAGGACGCCATTAATTAAGTTAACTCATAATATAATATTCACTATGAAACAAATCTTATTTCGAATGTGCTCGTCATTATTCGAACAAAGAAAGTGCATCGTCATGTCTATTGACACTAATCATGTATCGTTATCTGGGAACTTTATAACTAAATGTATTCAATGTTAATGAGTCAGGCGTGATTTCGGGATAGTCTTAGAAATATGATCGAAGTCTAATTTATCAAATATTTTTATCTCAAGAAAAAATTAATGTAATTTAACTACGTGTATATGTGGACTCCAGGTCGAGTCGACTTGTATAAATGATAAGTTTTTGTTCTATTTGTGAAATGTATGTGTTGAAAATAAACACAAAAAAATAAAAAGTGCTAAGGAGGGATCGAACCAAAGAAGAATTCTTCTTTAGGTCTAGGGTACTTGGAAAAGCATTTACAGTTAGACTGCAGTTTAGGGATGGTGTTAGGGTTGAAATGAATTCGATCATCTTCTATTCCGGACCAAAAAAGCGTTACCCTATTCCATAATTACAATTATATATCTATAGATCTAACGATGCGAAATAAATGTACACTGAGTATCTTAGAAGCCAACTCTTCTGTTATTTCGAACAAAATCATAATTATTACTTATTATTCCAGACATTTTGGAAAATGTCACCTTTAAATGAACATTAAGCTTTCACACACGATACCATTAATTTACAATTTGTACAATGCATTGCTTTTATGTTCCCTTACAATTAACCAAATATGTCAATCTGTTTTAGAGTTTTCAAAAGACAGTGAACGCAACGGATCCAGATTTCACAAGATGTTTCCAGCAAAGTGTTATTTCATGGAGTCCCTCGGTGTGGCTTGTAATATGTTCTCTCTTTTACATACCATACCTTGTTTTCCGACAAACCGTGAACAAAAGCATAGGACATCATAGTGGCCTCAATATTATCAAAACGGTATGTGATTTATTTCAAGTATACAAACTCATATTAAAGTTGTTCTATCAAAATGATCATAAAGCATAGACACTGTTCCACAATTAGTTACTTTGACGTCAAGTCAATGTAATAGAATGGATGAACTTCCTGGATACGAGCTTTTTGTTTTCTCGATTTAAACTTACGTATAAGTCATGTGCTTCGAAATAAGTGCTCAGAAAAAGGCCCCTGGATAAAAAGGAAAGTCAATAGTGCACCTCTACGATGTACCAATTTACAAAGCAAATATAACAAATCTTACAACTGAATGTCTTGTCATTAAACCTTTTTTGTACAATTGCCCCTATTTCCCTGATATAGTCCCGTTAGACTTCTACATTAAATGAATATCTTAAAGCAATATTTGTTAGAAGTTTAACATAAAAATGGGACTGCTTGAAGCGGTTTTGTCAGGTCTTTGAATCTCCAGCCAAGATGCACAACGAATGTTTAGATAATGGTCGGATATACATAATACTGGATAACAGTCGTAATGATAATGACAAATTACCAAATAATAATACAGTACTAATCCCTTTGCTGTTGTGGTATATAATTTGATGTATCATAGCAACCGATGATGGGGTCTCAAGATGATATGAGCAGGAAAAAGAATAATAAAACACAACATTTCTGACACTGCTCCACATACCCACATCTCCTGTTACCATAACAACCATGACTTTTTCATTTTGGAACAGTTTGTCATGACAGTTGCAGGATAATTTGTTACAATGTCATTCTACAATCTGTAGCAATTTCATATCACAACACTTAGGTAAATCTATTGAAATTAGAGCATTTGTTTCTTTACTTTCCGGACACCCTGTATATGAATTGCAACTTCATTTACAAAACAAATTCCAATTTTATACAGTATTTACTAGATTTGTGCCAAATTATAATTTGCAACTTGACTTATAAGTAGGTTTATATCGAGAAAACAAATGAAAATCGTAACCAGGAAGTTCATCCATGTTGTTACATTCATGACGTTCCGTCAAAGTCTTCGGTTCTGTGGTGTTAGGTTAGCACACTGGACTCCCGATGACAAGGTCAAAATGAAAATGAAAAAATGAAAGTAACTTGTTGTTATAGATATTCTGAGGATAAATCTTACTGTAAAATATGGATACTGCCAAACTATTGAACATATACTCTCTTATCCTATGCCAAGTAGAGTTTTAGGTAGATAAGTTGGTAAGATATATCCCGTATCATGATTTTGAGGTTTCCATATCCTGAACCTCCATATCTTCCGCCATATCTCCCGCTCCAGGGCATATCTTCCCGCTTCGAAAAAAAATTGAAAAAATAAGAAAAAATTGAAAAAAAAATTGTGAAAAAATTGAAAAATAAAAAATTGAAAAAAATTAGAAAAATGTGAAGAAATTGAAAAAATAAAAATAAATTGAAAGAAAATTAGAAACTCTACTTGGTATAGGATAAAGCAGTTATGTACTGGGAGGTTTTGGATATGGGGTTTATCCAGAGGGAGATATGCATATCTACCTGAGGGACCGTAGGGACCGAACTAACCCTTATATATTAAAGATGCATTCGTACGACAATCAAGTATTTGTTCAGAACTTACTTTGTATTATTTTTCAAATCAGATCACTGCTCCTTGTAGATTTGCATTTCAAGAATTTTTATACTACGTGCCATTATTTTTTAGGTAATAAGTCTGTTTCTATGTTATGTGTCGATATTGGATCTGATCAAGTCATTGGCGGAGACTGTAGAGGGCCTTCCACCAAGGGTGATATACTACATCACCCCAACTGTGAACGTTTTTACCTTCGTAAGTAGATATCGGCGCATAAGACCTGTTATAAAACCAATATATTCATTTTGGGTGACTTCATCTAAAATATATCGATCTGACAAATAAACTTTTTTCCACCTGTTTTTTTTTATTCATTTTATCTTTTAGGCTCTTGCAACGTTTGTCATCTACTATGAGTTTGCCAAAGGATGTCATTCTTCTGGAGTCGTCTTTATATTCTGGTTTCTACAACTTCTTGTGGGAGTTGTACCCTTCCGGACGAACATACTGTTAGCCTTGAGTGAGGTGAGAAACAGTTGAATTAATATAGAGATTCTAGATTTAAGTTTTCACTATGTAAATTTATAAGTTACACTCCGAAACAAGTTTGGTAGTATGAAAAGCATAGTTATGTTTAAATCTTAATATTGTTCCTGAACTACAATAATGCTGAAACTGTGTGACTTTGATTTTGTGAAAATCGCCATGAATAGACTATATGATATTGAACTCGTGGCAAAAAGGGGGCTTCAACATTCCAAACTGGAGTGTATCCCTTAATTGACTGTGATTTGATTCTTATAACAAATATGGACTTTTCATCTTTATATCGAGCTTTTGGAAACCACCCACCCTCTTAAAGTAGAGAAATCAAATCGGTTCTTATATAACAAGTAAGATGGGGATGCCAAATCTGTGTTTGAAAGCAAAGTCCATGTGTTGCTTAGATTGCTATTTTTGATTTCATAGGGAAAAATAACAGACTCTTACCGTTTTGTGACCTTTTACATCATGTACGCGTGCGTCATTGCACAGTTCTTGCTCAATATGACAGCTGATGCATCCGCAAATCCCCAGATCAAAGCATGTCGAACTCAAAAACGACAAAATAAGGATGCAGTTGTGGACGCTAAAGAATGTCTTGGAGAAAGTGACAAATCCGATAAGGTACCACGAGATCATTTTATGTTTATATAATGTGGCTCAATAATTAAAATAGAATGAATGTGCTAAGGTCAGTTGTGCTCAACTCTTGGATGTTTCCAGTCATTAGACAAAAAATTTAGTATCCGGAGAACATTTGATAGTAACATCGTGATTTCAATTTATTGCCATTTGATATAGATTGTCATTTTTCTAGATACCCTGCCCAGAACTCGAAGCGCCGTTTGTATCAAGACTTACCTATTGGTGGATAACAGGGTAAGACATTGGAACATATACCTGATGTCGGATTCATAACATCGATGAGGTTAATCAAAATCCGTCCGTTTATATGTATTACGAGTTATTTATGAATAAACTCAAGGCACACGTCATGTTAGGCGTCTAAGAAAATGCTTCCTCATTACTTCACCTATGTATTTAATTCACAGGCTTATCATTCGTGGATACAAAAAATCTTTGGAACTCAAAGACTTATGGGAACTCAACTTCGCCGATACATCTGCATCTATATGGGCCGTATTTGGAAAGCACTGGGGTACAGAAATGGAAAGATACCGCAAGGCAACAAGGTTAGTGACGGGGACATGTTCAATCGTGTCGGAATAATTGATGTTCAATTTACTTTTTTTATTTTGGATGGCATCCTTGCACAACTCTCAATTATAACTTATGTGTTTTTCAGTTTGGTCAGGAATTACAAATATCCCGTCCAGAAGCAAATTACGGCTCCACCTAAAGACAAACAACAGGCAGATGCCAAGGAAGAAGATATTCCAAGTGCAAAAAATGATGAACCGAGTGAAGACATCATGAAAGCTTTTAATACTGGCTCCCTTTTGAAGGCAATCACTAAGACATTTGGTGCAGAGTACATGTTAGCTGGATTCTTTAAGCTTTTATCCGACGCATCTGGGTTTCTCAGCCCACAGATTTTAAAGTGAGTTAAATTGCCACCAAACTCCTCACCATGAAACTAAACCTCAGTTCTCTACAATTCAGAGTTTTTAGAACTGGAACAAGAGTAAAAAGTAACTAAATTTACTTTTTTAATTAGCTTCCAAACAATTGTTTCCCTTTTCAGTTTATTGATTGGCTTTGTCAACGGTGGCGACCCATTGATATGGAAGGGCTACATTTACGCGGTGTCGCTTTTTGCGATAGCTGTGTTCCAATCCATCATTCTTCAACAGTATTCGCATGGCTGTTTTTCCATTGGACTTAAAGTTAGGTCGGCTATTGTCGCTGCTGTATATAGAAAGGTCAGATTTTTATTTTAAACTAATGCTCTCTACGGTAGTACATGACTTTGAGATCATTGTTGCATATGGCCGACTCATACATGTAGTTACATAGATTTATGTTTTACTTTACAACAGGCTCTTACATTAAACAATACTGCCAAGAAAAGTTCCACGGTCGGTGAAATTGTCAATCTTATGGCCGTCGACTCGCAGAAGCTTTTAGAAGCGCCGCCGTTTATCCACATGATTTGGTCAGCACCTATCACTATTGCCTTTGCATTGTACTTCCTTTGGCAACAGCTTGGTCCATCGGTCCTTGCTGGATTAGGCGTTACCGTAATAATGATTCCCATCAATGCAGTCCTTGCTGGGAAGATAAGGGATTTCCAAGTAGGTGCAATCTTCAGTTAAACAATTTAGAAACCCTAATTTTTTTAAAGTGTAGAAATAATATACATTTATTGTTAGAATAATATGGTTTACAGGATTTGTGTTTCTCACATGCACCTCTGAGGTAATGACTGTAATTATTGACGTTCAAGAACATATTATGTATATATTGTTTTAGCGTTAAATTAGTTCAGTAAATAGCACCACTTGCCCATTCGCTCTTCTGAATTACAGGATACACACATAATTAACAGTTCATGCACATGCCGTTTATTATACGTGTTTGCAGATTCGCCAAATGAAACTGAAAGATGGACGAATTAAGCTAATGAACGAGGTCCTAAGTGGAATGAAAGTTCTCAAACTGTACGCGTGGGAAGGTGCCTTCCAAGAAAAGATATTGGAGATAAGAAATCAAGAAATCGCAGTATTGAGGGCAAGTCAGCTCTTCCAAGCTGTGAGCTCTTTGTCCTGGTTTTGTGCTCCATTCCTGGTGCGTATGTCTTCTCAATCATCTGTGAAATTGTAGCTAAATATTTGCAATCACTCTCTGTCAGTCTCATTGTCTCAAATGTGTCATACATTAATACTTTACAGTTGATTTTTCATCATACTTAATATATTTTGCGAAGATGTATTTTTAGCTTGAAAAAGACGTAGATGTCAACATTAATATACTGAATATACTTTGATGTATGCTGTATATTTCATTTAGATTTTTTTATTTAGGTTGCACTGGCTTCATTCGCTACTTACGTTTCAGTGTCAGAAACGAATATCCTGACTGCACAAAGGGCGTTCGTGTCATTGTCGTTGTTCAACATCATGAACGCTCCTCTGGCGCAGATCCCAGCCGTTATTACATATTTGGTCCAGGTATGCATAAACTGACACACTTTGCCCGAAGAGTTCCAAGTGGAACGACATGTATTATTGTACATATTATAAGAATTGATATTGTAATATGCTATAGACTTTAAATGTCAACTTTATTACTTTTTTAGTTTGTCCAACTGAAGAGATTAAACAGTTTTTTTTATTTAAACATATTTTCATTGGGTTTACCCGTCATGGCAAACATAATTTAGATTTGTTATTGTGTAATATTCCGAGTATTCATGGCATTTAATTTACCATGGTGAGATACGATTATGACTACTGATGCATTAAAGTAAATCTGTGTCAATCTTTTAGTGCGCTGTCTCTATTGGGCGTCTTAGTCGTTTTTTAAAGAACCCTGAACTCGACGTTGAAAATGTGAAACTTGAGACGAATCAGGGTAAGTCGATTTCATATTTATCTCATTTCTTTTTCATTGCACATATACAGGGTGTCTCGAAAAAATGTACCCAAAAGTATATCAAGACCACAGATTAACCAATCAATATTTTCAGACATTTTTTGCATGGTCATGTAGCCAAAACATGAAAGTTTTCTCCCCAATACACCATTTTTATTTTTATTTGTTGCTTTAACCCTTTACCCTTTACACCACATAGTCAATGTAACCTCATATTTCGATGACAGCCTGTATCCTTACTGCTACATTGTTAATCACATTTGATTATAATTCCGGTGGAATGTTTTGGATTTCTCTTTGGGTGTTGCCCTTAAGTTGTTCTAGGTCTTTTTGCTTGGAATGAGCATTAAACACTCCTTCAAATAGCCACAGAGAAAGATGTTTGACGATGACGATGGCAGAACAAACACAGATAATCAGGTCAATTATCGGCAAATGATTCAGGAGTTACCTTCGAGAGTTAGGCAGGCTAGCCTGGAGACCAAATGATATCCAAATGAAAACACGGTGGTCTCAAATTGATACACACAACAAAGGCTACACTAGAATCCCAACCAATACAGTTTCTTGAACCTCTGACCTCTCCGTATAAGGAGGCTATAAGACATTGTGAGGGCCTCCCTATTCACCACATTTGACGGCCCATACTTTTTTCTCTGAGGCTATTTGAAGGACCATTTTTATGCTAAACCCAAGCTAAGAAACCTAGAACAACTTAAGGCCAGCATCCAAACAGAAATCAAAACATTCCACCAGAAATATCAAATGTGATGAACGATGTAGTAGTAAGGATGCAGACTGTCATCAAAATATGAGGTTGCATTGGATATGTGGTGTAAAAGGTAACGGGTTAAAGTATCAAAAAAGCAAAATTGAATTAAAAACTGTGTATAGGGGAAAAAACTTTCATCTTTTATCTACAAGACCATGTAAAAAATGTTTGAAAATATTGATTGGTTTGTCTATGCTGTTGATATACTTTTGGGTACATTTTTTGAGACACCCTATATAAAGTATAACATTTCAATCATTAACTTATTTTTATTATTCTATTTAAAGAAAATGCCATGTCTATCCGTGATGGTACCTTCTCTTGGGATAAAGATGACGCACCGGTACTACATGAGTGAGTATTTCCAATATTACACTGACCCCTACACGTTAGATTTATAAAAACTACGTGTAGTATCCACGAGCGGATCGAAAATCTAACGGGATGTGGCAGAATTCAAGCCACAAAATTGTGCCCCTAAAAGCAATGGTCATTGAGTATTCATGTCATTTTAATGATTGTTTCCCTACATTCATATTTCCGTTTTTCAATTCAGTGTTAATATGCGAATACCCGAGGGTAAGTTGGTTGCAGTGGTGGGAATGGTTGGCTGTGGCAAGTCATCTTTAATATCAGCATTGCTCGGTGACATGGAAGTAATGAAAGGAAGCATTTCATTAAGAGTAAGTAAAAGAGCAAATGACATCAAATTGTTACACAACGTGAAACACTATTTTCTAAGCACTACTAAGAAAGAATACTTAATGTCTTATCCATAAGTAATAAGCACTACTAACTACTAATTCTCAGGAATAAAAAGTTCACACTTATCATACCTATTGAGAGATAAATATTGCTTATCCTCGGCCCAGGTACGTCTTATCCGTGTGTCATGTGACTACTGCGTTAATTAACTAAGTAAAGCATTTCAATTTAGGTGTAGTATGTTTGCATGCAGCAAGCATTTAATCATTTTTGATTTTTGATTAAAAATAACTCCTTTGGATCAAATATTTAAATTCTACTAGAGTGCGTGGAGTGGAAACAAGTCTTCATTCAAGCACTAAATATCAAAAGGAAGATTTCAGGACCCCTTAACTTCACTCCCGGACTTTTCTATTCAACACCACCCATCCCCCTTCCCAATTATCCCTAATGATCCCAGAATGTTCGTTTCTGTGCCCCCTGTCCATGGCCAGTAATTAATCTATGTGTATATTGTCTCCCTCCAAAAGGTAGGAAAAACCAGATGCAGACATAAACATTGACAAGGTGAGGGGATTTAAATATAAAAATAGTCTTGTTTTTGGCTCTGACTTAAATATCTTGACACTGTTTAACGAAGCCAGTTTAAGGAATGAGAGGCAGAAATAATTCCTAGATGATCTTTCTTTACTGTAATTAAGATGCTACTTAACCGCAATTTTAAAAGGGATTAAGTTATGTACCTTGTGATAATTTAATACTACTTATTGATTGGTTTGCCAAATATAATACCCCGTATAAGACCCTTGTCTCTGATTGTAAAACATCTGTATATTACATTATGTGAACAATTCCAAAAAGTTTTGTCTTGAACTCAATCAAATAGCAATATATTTCAACATGTAGAAATTATTTATTAACATAATGTCGGGCACTATAGGTTAAAGGGTTTTCTGTTTTGCTCTTTTTGTGTCACGCTTGAATTGTGTGCTTTATTTATTTGGGATTTGAATTTGGAAAGGTGAATTCACGATCAATAAAGTTTATAATATCATGTATTAACCAATACATCGAGGCAAAGCCACCTTTCAAACACATCATCTATTATGCATGTCCATTTGTAGCAATCACACGGCCCATACCACTAGGGGTATGTAGATGTTAATGAATGGGAATTTTTCATCTTTTTATTTTTATGTTTTCATTAAACAGCCAGAAAAAAACTATTTTTCATTTCCCAAGGAATTTAAAATGTATCTAATATAGTATACAATCAGACAGACTGGCTATTCTAATCCGTTATGAAAGGCCATTTGTTTTTTTCCACTACAGGATGTTTCTTCAGAAGTTAATTAATTGTTTATCTTAGTGTTTAGATGCATTGTCCCTTGACGCTTTCATGAAATAAATGAACTTTGTGATGGACTACAATTGTATATTTTTACAGGAACAGTTATTTTTATCACCAAAGTAGAGCACTTGTTACATTATTTTCATTTTAGGTCTCTCTTATTAGTTGCATTGCAGAAGTCTAATATTATTCTCTCCGTGTGCCGAATGTTCTTATACCCGTAGCCAAGGGGTGGGGGTGGTTCAAGGAGTGCGAGAATTCGAATTGAATACAAAATAAATATGAAACATATAAATATATAAGTACATAATGTCTAGCCAAGTCTTCTTGCATTTTCTGAACTTCAAATGCGCCTTTTGATGTGTGGTAACAAAATACTAAATAAATATTTATGTTACTCCAGCTTGTTTTCATATTAATTTGGCAATAAAACATGTATAAATAGATAGCAAATTGTGCACAACCCCAATCCCTTCCCCGATCGGGTCGCGTTTACTGTGCATGTTATAATGTATAAAAGCAATTTGTAATAAAGACAATAATGCCCCCCCCCCCCTATTGCAACCATCTTCGTTCACTCGGCTCCCGTCGATGGACACAGTTAAGACCGAGCGTGCAATGTATTGCAACATTTTGTCAATTAATGGCATTGGCCCGGGGTATCAACACACATTTGATTGAAATAATTCAAACCAAAGTTCCAAATGAATAAAGAACGTGAAGGTTCTGTTTGACATTCGAACAAAAATTTATCCAGTCAAAAATAGATTTCTAATATTTGATCTTGATTAGATGTATTTATTGATCCTTAATTAAAACTACAGATGGTTCACTCAATCCCGAATAAACAAAAAATAATCCTATACACGTTTACTTGGTTCTCATGATACTGCCTATAACCTATAATACTCATGTATCAAAACAAATATCAATTAATCCGTCTGTGTGATTGTTCCCTGACTCAAACTAAGCGAACCCCGATTTCAGTTCTAAATATTTCACTTGAAACGATTTAGCCAACATGATACAATATGACATTTGATTAATTATACATGTATAAAGCCAATTATTATCAAAACCCATAAATGCTCACAATATAAATATAGTTTTATTGATGGCCAATAACAGATATCAGGGGCGTAGCCAGCTTTCAGTCAGGGGGGGGGGTGCGATCGCCAAAAATATTTCGGGTTTCAGTCGGGGGGGGGGGGGTGCGATTGTGACATAATCGGGGGGTGCGATTGTGACATAAACCAGCCAAAAAATGATTTTTATATTGAATTTTACAAAATTAGATGCAACTTCATTCCAAATTGAGCTAGAAGCTTCAAATAAAAAGCTTTAAAGTTCTTTTTCTCCTCTTTCTCAGGGTCTTATTCTTATTCGCAACCCTCCCCCCCTGGCTAAGCCTATGGATATTTAGACAAGTTTCAAATAAATAACCTAGCATCCAACCGCGCAAGCAACCAAGCAAGCAAGCAAACGACCATCAAAGCAAGCAGGAAACTAAGCAAGTAAAAAACATGCAACTTACAAATAAAGCAAGCAAACAACCAACAAACCAACCAATCAAGTAACTAATCAAACTCTAATCCAGCAAAGAAACCAAGGAAGCAACTAAGCAACAAAGAAAGAATGCAAGCAAGTAAACGGTCAATCAAGCAATCAATCGTGCAAATAAGCAAGCAAACAAACAATCTACCATCCAAGCAACTAATTAACATAATTCAATAAGATTAAAATTAAACCTTGCGCACATTTTCTCTACGGGGGTCGTACGGCGGCCGGAGCTTCAAAAAACTAGATACACGTTGAAAGTTCCAAAGTGCAAAATGTAGCTCTGTGCTTAATTTTGGTTATGTTTAAGATAAAACTTTTCAGATTTGCTTCACTTAATGCATATCCCCAGGATTTCAAAATACGATACACATGTATGTATTACAATTGGAGACAAATTTCTAATACTTGTCCAATCAATCAGTGATATCAATTTCATTGTTTTCATAACTGGGAATGTTTAACTTGATTACAGGAGATCGGCTAGGAATTGTTTTTCAGGCTGAGATTCGAAGAGGCACTTTTAATTAACGCCTCCTGGCGACTTAAGAATTGAGTAATATAGAGCTATCATATTGATTACATTTATCAATCACAGAAATGAAACACATTGGAGCATACATGAAGTTAAATAATTGGGGATGGGAGGGGGGTAGTGAACACACGGGATACTGAATTCTTCCTCTTAAACATAAACTTAAACGTCAGTGCTTGAATGAAGGCTTCCCCTGGGGCTTCCCTTTAACAGATTTAGGGAGTTTTACAACTAGTTTTACTGAAACTGAAGATTTTCAATTGACTTTGTTATAACATCTTATTATAATACACTGGATATTATGTAAAAGTATTGATGTGTATTTCGTACTCCTGACAATCGAATTTCATATCAAACATTTGCAATATAGTTTTACAGTGGTATTAATTACAGTGTTATTGCTTCAATAAATGCAACACATTTACCAGATTTTAGATTGGACTTTCTACACGATGATAAAATATTCTGGTGATATTCTTTTCGATAAAACCCAATCACAAATCTCATGGCATCGACTTTATTAATCATACATGTATCTGCACATGTGAAAATGATCTTGCATGTAGAAATTTCATTATATGTAACCCCCCACAGCTCCCTCCCGACCTGTAGGATTAAAATGGAATAAGTGATTGATCATTGATCTGATAAGCCACTTATCACTCAAGCCACGTATTCCTTTCATTATAACGAATTTTATGTTACATGACTATATGTTTTTATTCCGCTATTTAATATACGCTCTACCATGAGTATTTGGTATCAAATTAAACGTCTCTTAATCCTGCAAAATATCATTTAGTTTTTATCTCAGGGTTATAAAAGCTGAACGCATTATCAATCGTCGAACATTCCAAACTATCATTTTTTGCCTTGTAACCGATCACCCTTATATTGATTGACAGTTATTTTTTATATTCTGAAACGTATTTTGTTATAATAATTGACTATTTCATCACAAAGACTGCATCGTGTCTATTGTACGTTAGCTGGAATTAATTTATTTGCTAATTTACTATTGGAAAATCGACATTAAGTACAGGCCCGTAAGACACTTTTCTCCAAGGGGGGTGCGGTTTTTAGCTTACTAAACAGAATATAAAATTGTCATTTTTTGCTTCGTAAATCAAATCGGGTAAGACAGAGGGGGGGGGGGGGGCAGTTACTCCCTATATTGGTTTGGAATCAACAAATGCATGCGACTTCCAAACGTTCCAATTGTTTTGTGGGGGTGTGAGGAGTGGTCCACTCCCCCTAGAAAATTTTACAGTTTTGAGATGCTATTTGGTGCTTCCTGGGCACTTTCAAAGTGTAAGTTTCTAAGTAGTACGCCACCACCACGGGAATAAGAGTTGAGTGAATAAAAAACCGAGCAATCAGGGGCGTCTGGGGAAAACTTTGAAATTTGGTTGTATTTGGAGCGAATTTGCAACCATCTGGTACCCCTGTGCGTTATGAGTCAATAAGAAAAATGTGATTTTTTTTCAAATTCTTTTGGGGTTGTCAAAGAGGATGAGAGGGTGAAGTGGGGTGGG